GGAGATAGGGAATAAAGATGTGATTAAATGGGAGCACACGAGGCAGAAGACAGAGCTGGCATCCTCATATTTACCTCCTGTACATCGGACGGTTTTCCCCCACCCTGGTGTGGGGCCCTGGGGACGCTCACCTCCACCTTGTTGAGTTTGCACTCCTCTTCTCCATGCTGGCACTTGAACTCCCATCTGCCGCTGACATTTTGTTCCTGCAAGGCAGCAGGGTGAGAGCTGGCTGGCAGGCTGGGTCCCTTGCTCCCCTGCCCACGTGCCTCAGTTTCCCCAGCGCCCATGCACCTGTGCATTTCCGTAGGGCACCAGTGTGACATTGAGGATCTCCATGACCATCAGCCACGTTGGGAAAAGCTCTCGGACCAGGAAGCCGCGGCAGCCACCGCACAGTGCTTCATAGTAGAGGGTCACGTTGACAAGCGGTGCACTGGACTTCTTGACGGTCCCCCGCAGGTAGAGATTGCCCATCTGTGGATTAGGAAGGGGTGTGAGGCAGGTGTAGCCCTGGGCAGTTCCCCACTTCTCTGAACCCCACTTGGTATTCTTGTAGAAAGGGGGCTGTCATAGGCAATTCATCTTGCACACCTTCCAGAGCTTGCCAGGTGGAATCTTGACTTTGAGACTTTTTTTTTTTTTTTTTTGAGACAGCGTCTCTCTCTGTCGCCCAGGCTGGAGTGCACTGGCACCATCTTGGCTCACTGCAAGCTCCGCCTCCCGGGTTCACGCCATTGTCCTGCCTCAGCCTCCCAAGTAGCTGGGACTACAGTCCCGAGTAGCTAGGACTACAGGCGCCGGCCACTACACCCGGTTAATTTTTTTGTATTTTTAGTAGAGACGGGGTTTCACCGTATTAGCCTAGCCAGGATGGTCTCGATCCGCTGACCTCGTGATCCGCCCGCCTCGGCCTCCCAAAGTGCTGGGATTACAGGTGTGAGCCACCGCCTCCGGCCTTGGCCCATGCCCATTTCTTGCCACTCCACCAGGAGACTTTGACTCTGAGCTGAGCAAGGAACCCACGTGAACCCTTTCCAAGTCGGACCAAACAGAGGCGGCACCTAATAGGTGCTGACTTCCGGCTTCAGCTGAGGGGTGGCGGGCGGCCCGTGTCGCTGGATCCCTGAGCAAGTCGCTCAGCTTCTAGGGCATTTGCCTAATAGGTCCCAGAGACACGCAAGCCCTGCCCTGGCTGGAATGAATGCACCAGGGGTAGCAGCAAGAACGCATGCCGGTGGCCCTCGGCCAGCTGCTGAACTTGTGCCCTGGACCATAAAAGGAGACCCCAGTTCCTGCCCCAAAAGTACACAATAGGCGCTCAATGAACCCTTGGGCGGGACGAGGCGGTGGAAGCAACTGCGCGTCTCAGATGCGGGATGCAAAAGCGAAACGGCACGGCACGGAGGGACTCTGGCCGCAGTGCCGGGAAATGAACGGGGTTTTTCCAGTCGGGACCCTGGTCTTCCCCTGTGAAGTCTGGGGAGAAAGAAGGAGCCGCCTGCCCCGACAGGGCGTCTGTCCCCTCCAGTCTGCCCGCCCTGTCGCCGTCCCTACCTTGTAGTTAACTGGCGGCCCATTCCCAAAGATGTCTAACGCTTGCAGAGGGGACGCCTGCACCGCTGCCGTGGGGTCGTCCAGCAGCAGCAGCAGCGGTGGCAGGAACAGCAGAAGTGGCGACAGGGACATCGCTGCGGGGCAGAAGTGTGGCGGCTGGGGCGGCTGCCTGGGAAATGAGCGCCTTTAACCGGGGGGCGGGGGGGGGGGGGGTCCCGCCCCTAACCCGGCCCGCCTCCCGGTGCCCACGCCCCTGGGCCCCGAGCCAGCGTCCCTCCCTCCTCTACTCCTCCCTCTGGGTGTCCCACCCCCACCCCTGCCAGGTGCTGGGTCCCCAGTCACGAGGTCACTGGGCCCCTTGGCAATCAGCCCTGCCTAGGCATGTGATCCCTGGTGCAAGAGTACCTTTAGGGGAGGTGAGGTGGGGCCTTTGAGACAGACACAAAGAGGCTGAGAGGAATGGTGGTGTGTCCATGCACTCCTAGACCTTCTGGGGGCGGCTAGGGGACTTGAGGCCTGGGACCCACTCTCAGAGTGGGCCTGCGATCTAACGGGGTGACGTCGGATGGAGGCTGGGGATGGGATGGAGGCTGGGGTGTTGGGGGAGTAACTGAAATGTTCAGCCCCCTGAGAGTGGGCAAGGCCTGTGTGGCCAGGTTCCCTCCCTCCAGCCTGGCCCGTGACCTCCCTCACGCCCAACCCCCACGTCCTGCCCCTTGATCCTTCCCCCTCAAGCTCCTGAGCCCGATGCTCCAGACCCGGCTCCGTGGTCCCGTGGGACTGACTCAGGCTTGACCACAGCCATGCCAGAAAGCAGAAGCTGGCACAGGGAGCGGCGTGTCATTTCTCTAGGGTACCCCCCTCCAGCCCCACTTCCGACTTGAGGTGAAGAGAACTGGCCTTCCTTCTTTTCACCATCTAAGGCTTGTGGAGGGTGGGGGGCAACCTGGCCTTCAAGGGGCACCCATGGGGGAAAGCGGGGGCCTGTGCTGTCTGGGATAGGGGTGGGGCGGCTTGGAGTCTGTCTGGCTTTGGATCTGAGTGACGGAGCCTTAGCTTTCCCTTCTGTGTAATGGGGAGAAGGATAAGGTTTGGGGAACAAGAGTCACCATGGAGGGCTCACAGGCAGGTGGGGGAGAGTTGTCCCAGGTTGGGGCTTCCGGGTGGCATGGTCAGGCCTTGGTGCCTACACAGGACAGTGGCCCCAGCAGTGAAGGCAGAGAGAATAGCCTGGAAAAAAGGCCCAGATGGAGGTTGGAGTGTTGGGGGAATCATTGAGACATTCAGACCCTGCAGGGCCTCACATTCAGTGCAAGACACACCGGATCCTAAGGAAGAAAATGTCCCAAAGACGGCTGGAAGATATAGCTGAGTCCCCAGCTGTACCCCCTTCTAGCTGTGTGGAAGACCCCGACCACGCACACAGCAGCTGGTTTGGGAGCCGGAGTTTCCCTGAAGTCCTGGGGGCTGGATGGTCCCCGAGCCCATCCCTCAGACAACCAAACCGTTGGCAAAGCCCTTTTCCTTCTCAAAGCCTCCCCAGGACTCACCGCCTCAAGTCTGGTGCTTACCCTATGCCGGGTGGGATTGAAGAAATAACCACAAATATAATCGCTACAATTTTTCCAGTAGTTACCAGCCCAGCCCTATTGGAAGAAATCGTAAATGTAACCCCACAATGTATTGCTGTCTGGCTTGCTGCCAGGCATAGAGTGGGCTCGCAACCCATTTTATCATTGAACCCTCAGAAGCATCCAGTTGGGGCTGGGGGTAGGGGCTGCTGACTCCAGTTGGTAACAAATAAATGGCTGATCAGAGAGGGAAGGCTATCTTGCCAAGGCCACACAGCCAGTGGTTGAGTGTTTTTAGAAGCCACACAGGCTATTCTCTTCCACCCCGCCATGAAGACGGCAACCTTTCTCCTGTGAGAACCTATGCAGTGAGAGGCACTGTCTGGGCTGGAGTTATTTACGGGGTGTCTCCAGACAGGACACATGGCAGGGACAGTGCCTGGCAAGGTTGGGGGGCTCTGAGACTAAGGGAGGCAGCTCCTGTCCCAAGGTCCCAGCAGTAGACAGGGTCAGAAGGGAAGTTTGTTTATGCACTTGCCCCAGGTTCAGCCTTGTTGGGCCTTGAGAGGTGGCTGTACAGAACAGACAAAAACAGCAAGGCCCCAGGGTTGGGGAGGGCTGAAGGGACAAGGATATGGCAGTGGTGGTGTGGATTCTGGGTGTGATGGGAGGCTGGTAAACAGGAGTCCAGGTCAAAGATGCCATGAGGCCACACGTGGTGGCCCATGTGACTTGGGGAGGCTGAGGCAGGAGGATTGCTGGAGGCCGGGAGTTTGAAACTCACCTGGAAAAGGGTAAGAGCTTTTTTTTTTTTTGGAGACAGAGTCTCACTCTGGAGTACAGTGGCACAACCTCAGTGCAGGGCTTGGTGCAGCGTCGACCTCCCAGGTTCAACCGATTCTCCTGTCTCAGCCTCCCAAATAGCTGGGATTACAGGCACCCACCAAGCCTGGCTAATTTTTTTTTTTTTTTTTGTATTTTTAGTAGAGACCAGGTTTTGCCATGTTGGTCAGGTTGGTCTCAAACTCCTGACCTCAAGTGATCTGCCTACCTCGGCTTTCCCAAGTGCAGGAATTACAGGTGTGAGCCACTGTACTCGGCAAGATCTTGTTTTTAAAAAAATTTAAACACAATTAGCTGGACATGGTGACACGCACCCATAATCCAGTGACTCAGAAGGCTGAGATGGGAGGACTGCTTGAGGCTGGAAACCAGGAGTTTGAGGCCGTGAGCCATGAGCGAGCCGTGTTCACACAACTGCGCTCTAGCCTGGGTGACAGAGCGAGACCTTGACTCTTTAAAAAGAAACACAAAAAACCCCACAGGGCTTCTGCTCAGCGTCTCCTGGGACCTGGCGGTCTGTGCATGGGAGGGGGTGAGGAGAGATCAGAGAAGAGCCTCCAGTGCTGGATGGAGGTGCCGACGCCTTGAGAACATCAAAGACACGGGAGACCCCTCCCTGTGGCATGGGAGGGTTGTGTCTTTTGACACCACTTGGCAATGAATGAGGAAGCTGTGGATCAGGGAGGGGATATGACTTTTCCAAGGACACAGCTGATGGCTGCGACAGGATTCAAGTTTGGGGGTGGTGGAGGGGAGCAGCTTGGAAGCACTTGAGTGGCTGGATGGGGTCTGGGGTCCCCTGAGCAGTCGGGAGCTCAGGATTTGAATCTCTCTCCTGTACGACCTTGGGCACTGCCTCAACTGCTCTGGGCTTGAGCAGCTAAACTGGGGGAGGGAGGGGTTGTCGGGTCTCAGAGGTGGCTTGGAGTTAAACCCATGGGCCCGACCTGCTGTGACCCCGTAAACACCACGGTCCCCGACACGCAGAGATGGTACTGAAGCCCAGTCACTGACAACAGAATCACCCACGACGTTTGATGTTTTATATCATATCAATAACAACGTACCGTACAAAACCTGCCTCCCAGCTCGCCGGGCAGGCAGTGTGGTGGCCAAGGGCAGCGTAGAAAACCAGGGCTCTTGTCCCAAAAGAGGAGAGGAAAGAGGGTTTTGCAGTCAAGGAAAAACAGAGTCAAAACCCAACATGATCGAAGAGAAGCCCTGAATCTGCATCAGGCGGAAGGGCCGTGGGCAGTGTCGCAACTTGGCCACTGCCGCGGCACCAGTACGGGGAGCTGTGATTCCTAGCGGGGGTTGGGACCAGCTCACGAGTTTGTTTATTTATTTTTTTGAGACGGAGGAGTCTCCCTCTGTTGCCCAGGCTGGAGTGCAGTGGCACGATCTCTGCTCACTGCAACCTCCATCTCCCGGGTTCAAGAGATTCTCGCACCTCAGCCTCCCAAGTAGCTGGGATTACAGGCGCCCGCCACCAAACCCAGCTAATTTTCGGATTTTAGTAGAGACGGGGTTTCGCCATTTTGGCCAGGCTGGTCTCCAACTCCTGACCTCAAAAGATCCGCCCGCCTTGGCCTCCCAAAGTGCTGGGATTACAGGCGTAAGCCAAAGCGCCCGGCCTGCGAGTTTAATTATTTTTTTAGGGGTGGGGGAACTTCTCGCAGTGGCCCCATTTGTGGGGATAACTCGGTGGCGGGTTTCACTTCAGGGTTTGGAGGGGAAGTTGGAGTCTGTGGGGCGGGTCCCGCCCGGCCCCGAACGTCACGGCCGAGGTTCTCGGAAGCAGCGGAGTGAAGTTCCTTCCTGCCCTGACCCCAGGTCTATGGCTTAAAAATCAGGGTGCCCAGGCTGGGGCCGCGCAGCCCAGGGGCCCTCTGTAAACATGGCAGGTGCAGCCAGAAGGGGCTTCCGGGGCCCCAGGGGACCTGCGGTGGGCAGGGCAGAGGGTCAGGGTGACCAGAGCCATGGAGAGGGCAATGCCCGGGGAACAGGGAGATATGGGGTCGGGGAGGCAGGACCCCCAACATGGAGAAAGACAAGGGCCAAGAAAGAGAGAGAGAGAGAAAAGGAGACAGGAGATCTGGAGAATGGGGGAGGGAAGGAGAGAGGGAGGGAAGGAGAGAAGGAAAGAGAAAGAGGGTGAGAGAACCCCAAACAAAAGCCAGAGCCGTAGAAATGAAGACCCCTGGATGTGGCTGGTCTGGTCCGTGGCTCCTGCCGCCGCAGCCTCCGGTGCAGACGGGCCCAGGGGCGGCTCCGCTTGGGGGGGGTCCTCGGCGCTCAGCGGGCGGCAGGCGGCGGGCCGGGGCCCGGGGCGCGTACTGGGTGCGCCAGGGTGACGGTGAGCGCGTCGTTGTGCTGCACGAGCGAGGCGTGCTGGTAGTGCAGCACCAGCTCCTTCAGCGACCCGTACAGGTTGTAGGGCTCCGCGAAGCCGAAGCCGGTGGCCGTGCGGTAGATGACGCAGTGCTTGGTGTCTCCGTCCACCCTGTGGGGGTAAAGGAGAGGGCGGGTCGGGAGGCTGGCCTCCCCGCCAAGCTTTCCCCGCCCCAGGGCCGCGTGCTCCCCTGTGCCCGATGACCCCACCAGGGACTCCTCAAGGCCTGGCACGCGTCAGGCATTAAATGAGAGCTCTGGGAGGGACGCGGGGATCCCCAGCGCTACGGTCCACTCACACCACGGAGCAGGCGTAGCAGCCCCGCTGGCTGCTCTCGCGGATGAGGAAGGTGCCATCCCGCTTGCCACTCAGCATCTCCTCTGCCTGCGTGCGGTTGATCTTGCCCACGTACCAAGTGCGTTCCTCGTGGTGCGGGAGATCGTCCTCGTCCTCCATCAGCGCGTACTGGCTGGGGTCGGGGCGTGGCGGGGGATGGTGGGGAGGGCCCTGGTCACTCATCTGCCAATTTCCGAGGCTCCCCAGCTGCCTGGACAACTCTTCCTCCCTGGTGAACTCCTACTCATTCTTCAAAACCCACCCCAACGGCCCCCTCCTCTGGGAAACCCTCCCTGCCTCCCTCCAGGTCGTCACTCACTCCTCAGTCTCATTTTTGATCCCCAGCCACTCGTTGATTTTCTTCTGCCGGGCGCCTTTCTGGGTGAGCCACCTGAGAAGCAACAGGAGAAAGGTGGGCTTGTGCAGTTGTGTGGGTGCTGAGCCCACAGTGGGCCTGTCCTGTGGGAGGCAGGGTCTGGCTGAGAAGAGAGGGTTCTGGGTACAATATCTCCGGTTGCCACAAGAGGGCAGCGCTGACCTGGCTCAGGGCAGCCTGAACCCAGGGTGGCTCCCCCAGCTCTGCTGGGGAACCCTGACCCACACCCCTCATTTTTCTGTTTCTGTTAATGCTTGTGGAGCCCCCCAAGAAGATGCCAGCCCAGGCACCTCATCGTCACCAGAGGCTCACTTCAGCACTGCTGGCCTTTGCACAGGGCAGCTGTAGGTTCTGTGTCTCAGTCTCCCCAGCTGTAAAAGGCAAACTTTACAAAGGGCTTGGAAAGGACCAAATGAACTCATAACAAGCACGGTGCTTACCATGGCACCTGGCATGCGACAGTGCCTCCCCTGAGGCTCAGGAGGGAGGTGGACACTCTGGCTGAGGTCTTCAGGAGGTTGGTGGGTGGAGGCAGGATTTGAACTGATTTGAACCCAGGACTGGGCTGCCGCAGCCACCCAGCGTGGTAGGATACACAGCAGGCGATTTTTTTTTTTTTTTTTTTTTTTTGAGACAGAGTCTTGCTTTGTTGCCCAGGCTGAACTGCACTGGCGTACTCTCCGCTCACTGCAAACTCTGCCTCCCGGTTCAAGCGATTCTCCTGCCTCAGCCTCTTGAGTAACTGGGATTACAGGTGCACCCCGCCATGCCTGGCTGGATTTTGTATTTTTTATTTTAGTAGAGATGGGGTTCCACCATGATGGCCAGGCTGGCCTCAAACTCCTGGCCTCAAGTGATCCATCCGCCCGCCTTGGCCACCCAAAATGCTGGGATTACAGGTGTGAGCCATCGCGCCCAGCCCAGCAGGAATTTTTGTAGAAAGCTCCCAGCTTTCCACAAAATGGAATGGGATAGGAGTGACGCTCCCATTGCACACATGTCTAAGCTGAGGCTGATCTATGGGAAAACTTTCAAGAGGCCCAGGAGGAACCGAGTTTTGGACCTGGTGGAGAGGAAGAGGGCTTGTGGACAGATAAGGTGTCTTGGGGCCCAGGAAGGGCCACTTGGTGGAGAGGGAGAGACTGAGACGCCTGGAGAGATCTCCAGGTGCCGCAGCAGTCATGGGGGAGCCGCCACTTACACGAGGTACTGGTCTCGGATCTTACGCAGCTGCATGAGGTCTGGCTTGAGGCTGTTCATGCGCTTGTCGATCTCCCGGTTGTCCGAGGCCTGGGCCCGCAGCTGCTGCTCCAGCTTCGTGCGGCTCTCGTGGATCTCGGCAATGCGGGACTTGAGCCGCTCAGAGTTAAGCAGGATCCTGTGGGAGGGGTGGGGTGGCGCAGAGGCCTCAGGGTTTTATCTCAGCTCACTGTACCCTCAAACTCCCGGGCTCAGGTGACCCTCCCACCTCAGCCTCCCGAGTAGCTGGGACCACAGGTGTGCACCACCATGTTCGGCTAATATTTTAATATTTTTTGTAGAGATAGGTTTTGCCATGTTGCCCAGGCTGGTCTCAAACTCCTGGGCTCAGGCAATCCTCCCACCTTGGCCTCCCAAAGTGCCTGGAGTTGCAGGAATGAGCCACTGCACCTGCTCCAGGATTTTCTCAAGGACCTACTTTGCACCAGACTATGTGCTTCCAGTCTCTGAGCCTAAGCATATGCTGTTTCCTCTGATTCTCTTTCTGACAAAGTCCTATTCATCCTTCAAAACCCATTTTTTGAGTGTTGTTGCTCTGTCTGGGGGGGGGCATGATCTCGCTCCACTTGAATGCTCTGTTTCTCCGTTCACGCATTCTGCTCAGTCGTTTGTTTCTACAGGCCCACACCTGCCTGTTTTTTTGTTTTAGTATCGAGACGGGTTTACCGTGTTAGCCAGAATGGTCTCGATCTCCTGACCTCGTGATCCGCCTGCCTCGGCCTCCCAAAGTGCTGGGATTACAGGCAATGAGCCACCGCGCCCAGGCCTACATTTTTTGTATTTTTAATAGAGATAGGATTTCACCATGTTGGCCAGGCTGGTCTCAAACTCCTGACTTCAGGAGATCCACCCACCTCAGCCTCCTAAAGTGCTGGGATTACAGGCCTGAGCCATCGCACCAGGCCCAAAGCCCATTTCAACAGACTACTCTTCGCCTCCAGGTGGCTGGTCTCCTTCTACTTCCTTCCCTTCCCCGCTTGTACCGCACCAGATTCAGGGTGGGGTGGGGCAGGGCAGAGGCGCCAGACTCACCTCTGCATCTCCTTCTCGTTGCCCTCACGCCGGAAGCGCTCCAGGTATTCCTTGCTGCACTTCTCTTGAGTCTGGCCCTGCTCTTCAAAGATCTTGATAGTCTCATTGAAGGCCTCAATCGCGGTACGCTTCATCTGCAGCTCCTGGAGGAGGGGGCGCAGCTCAGCACCTCCTGGGACTCCCCAAAAGGCCCTCGTGAGGGGTAAAGGCACATCTCAACTCTGATATGGAGACTGCTCAAGTTGGTCCCTCTATCGGAGTGTCATTCTTCTAACTCCTGCTGTACCAAATGAACTCCTATTCAGCCTTCAAAACCCCACCCCCCAAACCCTCTTCTTTACATCCTCCTATAGGTATCCACAAACACCTGGACCTGTTAACACTGCTGGGAATGAATGAGAGATCTAGTTGCTACAGCTCACAGTGCTTCTTGGGGGAGACGCTGCACTAGGACTTTCCTTACATTGTCACATGGACCCTTCCAACAACTCCCAACAAAGTAACAACTATTAACAGGGAAACTGAGGCTCAGGGCCAAAGCCAATTCTGAAGTTACAGTGCTCCTAACTGATCCTGGACGGCTGTCTTGTCCATTTAGAGCCTCAGCTAACACATCAGTAAAAAGGGGACAGAGGCCAGGGCTGGTGGCGATTGCCTGTAATCCTAGCTACTTGGGAAGCTCAAGTGGGAGGATCTCTTGAACCCTGAGGAGTCTGAGGCCAGCCTGGGCAACATGGTGAGACCGCACCTCAAAATTCTTTTTTGTTTGAGATGGAGTCTCGTTCTTGTCACCCAGGCTGGAGCAGTGGCGTGATCTTGGCTCACTGCAACCTCTGCCTCCCAGGTTCAAGTGATTCTCCTGCCTCAGCCTCCTGAGTAGCTGGGATTACAGGCATGAGCCGCTGTGCCCGGCCCATCTTTTAGTTTTATTATTATTATTATTATTTTTGTACTATAAGAGGCTGAGGCAGCCAGATCACTTGAGGCCACCAGTTCAAGACCAGCCTGGCCAACACGGCAAAACCCCGTCTCTACTAAAAATACAAAAATTAGCCAGGCATGGTGGCATGTGCCTGTAGTCCCAGATACTCGGGAGGCTGAGGCGGGAGAATCACTTGAACCAGGGAGGCTGAGGTTGCAGTGAGCCAAGATCATGCCACGGCACTCTAGCCTGGATGATAGAGCAAGACCCTGTTTCAAAAAAATAAATAAAAAAGAGGACAGAAAGAAAACCCTTAGGGTGCTAGGGAGGACTGAGGAATTCCCAGCTGTTCCATCTGAATCTATTCCCTCTTAACTTGCAAAAGAAGCTTATTAGCACAGTCCTGGAGTGACAAAACCTCTCACTTAATTTTTATTTTATTTTAATTTTTTTAAGAGACAAAGTCTTGCTATGTTACCCAGGCTGGTCTTGAACTCCTAGGCTCAAGCTCAAGCGATCCTCCCGCCTCAGCCTCCCGAGTAGCTGGGATTAGAGGTGCACGCCCTGCACCTGGCATGATTTCATCTTGAATAACATCTTGGTTGAAGGGGACGGAAGTAATCAAGATCCATGGTTCCATTCTGCAGATGGGAAAACTGAGGCCCAGCCAGAGATAGGCTCATCCTGGACACTCCCCAGGTCCTGGCTCAGCAACTCTTGTGAGGTTGGTTGGGCCCTTCTCATCTGTCCTTTTTTGGTTTTGTAAAAGCTCGTACACTTATTTATTATTATTATTATTATTATTATTATTATTTTTTGAGATGGAGTCCGGCTCTGTGGCCCAGGCTGGAGTGCAGTGGCACGATCTCGGCTCACTGCAAACTCCACCTCCCAGGTTCACGCCCTTCTCCTGCCTCAGCCTCCTGAGTAGCTGGGACCACAGGCGCCCGCCACCACACCTGGCTAATTTTTTGTATTTTTTAGTAGAGACGGGGTTTCACCGTGTTAGCCAGGATGGTCTCGATCTCCTGACCTACTTCTGCTGCTCCGTCGTCGGACCTCTCAATCACTACGCCACGAGTCCCTGGCCCCAGTACTAAACGCCAAGCTGGACACACGGGGCTCCTCTACCCTGATGTCAAATACCAGCAGGTCCGTGCTGACCTGGGAGCACGGGAAGGGTAAGCACTTGGCGGCACCCAGGCCCTCAGTTTCCTAGAAAGACCCAACCAGGCCATGCATTCCCTGATCCCATGTATTCTCCAGGACCAGATCGTCAAGGAGGACAGCGGGAGGCGGTGGGTGCCCAGCTCAAGGTATAATCAGCCAGCAGTACCAGGACAAGACCGCGAGTATGGACCAGCTCTACGTGAAGTACACACGGACCTCCCAGGTACTCCAGGCCCCGCACATGAGGGAAACCAAGGCATGAGGGGCAGTGGCAGTGCCGGAGCAGACGACCAACCCCAAGAGGGACTTGAGGATGAACATCCCGGTTGCAGTCACAGAGCGGCACTTAGCACGAAGGGCTCGTTTCAAAAACATAGAAATAAAGAGCAGCACCAGTGGCTCACATCTGTGGCACTTGGGAGGCTGAGACAGGAGGATCACTTGAACCCAGGAGTTCAAGATCTTCTAGGCAACATCAGGGAGACCACCTCTACAAAAAAATTTGAAAATTAACTGGGTGTCGGTGATGCACACCGCTTCTATCCAGCTACTCAGGAGGCTGGGTGGTAGGATCACTTGAGCCTGGGAGTGCTTGAGGCTGCAGTGGAAGCTGTGATCAACCAACTGCATGTCCACCCGTTAGGGTGACAGGGGAGAGCTCTGTTTCTAAAATAAAAACAGAATTAAGTGTACAAAGGTGGGCAGGGTGGCTCACACTGTAAGTCCCAGCACTTCCTGGAGGCGGAGAGTTGGATACCTGAGGTCAGGAGTGTCAAGACCAACTTGGCCAACATGTTGAAACTCTGTTTCTACTAAAACATACAAAATTACTGGGCGTAGTGGCGAACACCTGTAATCCCAGTTACGTCAGGAGGCTGAGGCAGTGAAAAGATTGCTGTGACCTGCGGAGCAGAGATTGCCATGAGCGAGTAGATCATGCCACTATATCTCACCCAGCCTGGGGTGACAAGAGCAAAACTCCGTCTAAAAAAAAATAATAACCGGGCGCGGTGGGCTTACGCTGTAATCCCAGCACTTTGGGAGCGCGGGCAACACGGGCCGGATCACTAAAGGTCGGAG